TCTCTCTCTCTCTCTCTCCATCTCTATGCTTTTCAAATAAATAGATAAACCTTTGAAAGAATTCCTTGTATTTTTTTCAGTTATAGCTACTGCTTTTGGGCTTTAATTTAAAATTTTTCCCCTGCTTTACAGCTTTATAAATATTCAACAAATTTTGGGGGGATAGGTTTTGGTTTTATTTTTATGTATGTCTCTAATCCACCTGAAACATGTTTTGGTATCTACTATGGATTGGGAGTTACATTTTATGTTTTCCACTTGATGCTCCATTGAGTTCACAGTATAGTCATCACTCAGTATCTGTGGGGGATGGGTTCCAGGGTCCCCTGGGGATGTCAAAACCTACAGATGATCAAGACTCATATATAAAGGGTGTAGCATTTGCATATTTATACATCTCCTCTTTTGTATTTTAATTCATCTCTGATTACTTATAATACTCACAGCAAATTCTGTGTGGATAGTTGTGCTGTGTTGTTGAGGGAATAATGACAAACCCTATACCTGCTCAGCACAAGTGCAGTTTCTTTTCTTTGCTGCGTGGTTGCAGAACCTGTGGCTATAGGAGGCATTTGGATTGTCTGTTCCCTGATCGTTGCCTTAAGATGCCACCACATCATATATCACATTACTATATGTACCTGAATCTGAATTACTTATTCTCTTCCACCGATTTTTCTGTTTCTGTAACAGTACATCATCTTACATTCTTATTTTTCTTTTTTTAAAAAATTTATTTTTAAAAGCATTTCATTGAAATACCGTATACCTACCAAGAAATGTGTACATAAGCATACAGATAAATCAGATTTTTGTCCTTTGAGCAGTCATAACCAACACTCGAATTAAGAACAAAACATTACTCATACATCAAGAATCCTCACTAGTTCCCCCTCCTCCTTTTTTTTTCTCTTGTTTTTTAATGTGGGAAAGAAGAGTATATTTTCACTTACATGGTACGATTCAGTGAAACAATATAACTAAATATCAAATGGCATGATGGCCACACCATTTTTATACTCTATATATTAGCTTCCACAAATAAGAGAAAACATCTGATATTTGTTTTTCTGGGTCTGGCTTATTTCAGTTAGCATAATGATCTCAAGTTGTGTTCATTTGTTTCAAATGTCAGGATTTCATTCGTTTTTATGACTGAGTAATATTCTATCATGTCTATATACCGTATTTTCTTATCCAATCATCAATTTAACTAGATTGACTCTATCATAGCTATTGTGAATTGAGTTGCTATAAACATGGTAGTGAAAAATATCTCTTTCATATGCTGATTTCATTTCCGTTGGATATATTCCCAGGAACTAGAATAGCTGGGTCATATGATAGATTTATTTTTAGTTTTCCTGAGGAATCTCCATGCTATTTTCATAATGGTTGTATCAATTTTACATATATATATATGTATTCATTAAAGATTTATTTATTTTTTTGAAAGTTGGGTTATAAAGGCGGGGGAGAGAGAGAACTCGATCTCTCATCTGCTGGTTCACTCCCCAAAATGACCTCAACAGCTGGGGCTAGGTCAGGCAGAAGCCAGGAGCCAGGAATTTATCCAGGTCTCCCAAATGGCTACAAGGGCTCAAGCACTTGGACCATCTTTTGCTGCTTTCCCATGTGCATTAACAGGAAGCTGGATCAGAAGTGGAGCAGCTGAGACTTGAACTGGTGTCATACAGGATCCTGGGTCACAGGTGGCAGTCTAACATGTTGTGCCACCCCATTTTTTTTTTAACTTGAGAGGCAAAGAGAGAGCACTCCCATCTCCTGGATCAGTCCCCAAATGCTCAGAATGGCTGTACTGGGACAGGCAGATGTTGGGAGCCAGGGACTCAATCCAGTTCCCCCAGGTAGCTGGCAAGGATCCAAGTGCTTAAGCCATCACCATTGCCTCTCAGAGTTTGCACTGGCAAGGAGCTGGATTCAGCTGCAAGAACCGTAAATTGAACCCAAGCACTTTGATGTAGGACATGGGCATCCTAATCAATGGTTTAACCACTAGGCCAAATGTCTACCCGGGCATTCGTATTTTCAAAATGTGTTCTGGTTAAAATGCTATGTAGAAATGCCAACAAAATTTAGAGAATTTTTGTTAGGATTTCAAAATTTCTATTGGTATTCCAATTCAAAAAATCCGAACTATGGATTCATCCAAACTGTACATATTCAATGAGTTTTCATCCAGAAATATGGGAGATGGCATTGCCTGGACAAGGTGTGTGTGTTGGGGTGAGAAACTTGTCCATTCAGACCCCAGCTCTGCTAGACTTAACACTGTAAACCTCCGTCAACTATTGCATCTCTCTAATTTTCGGTATCTTCCTCTGTGACAAGGAGAGAAATATTACAGCAACTGCAGGTTTGTGGTAAGGATTAATGAAAGGCCACGAGTGAAACTCCCAGCAGAGTTTACTGGCACAAAGTTTAGTCTGAAGATGCGGGACCAGCAAGTCCTCGGAGGATAAATGATGATGACGAGACCTCTTTTTAAAGGCACACAGGAGACTTCTGTACTTTCTTCGTTTGGAAGATGAGAAATTTTTCATTATATTTTTTTCTTTGATTTTTTTTTCTTGTTGCAACTGTGTCAAGCAGCAGAACAACAGCACAGTTCTGCTCTTTCTGTTTCTGCAGCAAAGTCTCAATTTAGCATTTTTCTTTTTAAAGGAATGGATGCATAATATTGAACGATGAAATTTAAACAACTGGATGTATAATTTGTTTGACAAATTAGATAATGCCTTTTGCTTTTTGGTTTGGAAGATTCTAGACTCCGTTTTTCTTACAAAATGAAGCCGCAAAGTACCAGGGCATGATAATGCAGTTTAGACCTCAACACTCTGATGAATGCATAATTGTTCCTTTAGAGCACGACTTCTCCACCAGGCTACAAGTTCCCCGGGGCTTGTGCCAAGTCGGCTTGCTCACCACTGCGGCTCCTCTACGTGCCTGGCTCTCATCCGTGCTCAATACATATTTGTTGCATGAACGAATGAATGACCAGTTCCTAGCTACCTCTTCAAAAGCACACAGTTTGCCTCTTCTCACTCTTTAAAAACTACCAGCAGCTTCAAACGTCTTGCTCTTCCTGAATGCACCAGGATATTTATTCCTCTGCACCTTTCACATGCTATTTTTTTCTGGGTGTCACGTCTTTCCACTTCTCTGTCCGCTAGAATATTGTTACTTACTATACTTCCCACAAGGAAGCTATTCAGAGAGCTCCCTAGCAGCCTGAATCACTCCCTCATTATTGCTGCTAACATTTTGCATTTTCTCTCCCTGTTGCTTGGAATCTCCTTACTGTGTGTACACATCTGCCTACCCTTGTAGACTCTGTCCAGCACAATTCCTGGCACACATGCGTAGAATAAATGCATGAGGCTCAGTTCAGTTTTGCCCCTTGGCTGAGGGAGAGCAGTGCCTGCACATTTTCCTGGTTCGGAGAACAACAAGTGGTCCCATAACACTATGTCCCTAGCACCTAAACCATCAGAACAGAACTTTCTGTGCACAGCTAAAGCTTCTCAAAGATTGCTCTTACTAGGTCACGATGGAAAGGGACGAAGCCTTCTGGTTTCTCATGATTACACTGTCTTGTTGTAAAGTCTCCATTGCAAACAGAAGGTTTTTAAGCATGGCTTAAATTTGAAGGCAGTCATTCCATATTGGAAAAAGGCAGAGCAACTAAACAAAAGGCAAAACTTTTTTCAAAATAAGTATGGAAGAAGGAACAAAGAATCATGTGCCACATACAAGAGCATATTTGTTTGTCTGCTTTGTCACTTTGAAATAATGGAAGCAGAGGATAAGCATCTTTTTAAAAAAGGTTTATTTATTTTACTTGAAAGGCAAAGTTATAAAGTGGCAGAGGTAGAGAGAGAGAGACAGAGTCAGAGAAAGACAGAGAGAGGTCTTCCATCCGTTGGTCCACTTCCCAAATAGCTGCAGCATCTGGAGCTGCGCCGATCCGAAGCCAGGAGCCTGGAGCTTCTTCCAGGTCTCCCAAGTGGGTGCAGGGGCCCAAGCACTTGGACCATTTTCTACTGCTTTCTCAGGCCATAGCAGAGAGCTGGATTGGAAGTGGAGCAGCCGGAACTCAAATCAGTGACCATATGGAGTGCTGGCAATGTAGGCAGCAGCTTTACCCACTACACCACAGCACCGGCCCCTGGATAAGCATCTTAATGCACCTTATAGGGTCTCCTTTCCAATAAAGTTATGAAAATGGGGATTGCATTTCATTTCCTGAAATACATCTGTGCAGGTTATATAACTCATTAAATGTAACTTCAGGTTTCAAGACAGGCTTTAGAAAGCAAGGCAATATATCATATAATTTTATTAATTATAAAAGCTTTGTTTTCCATGATCAGGGTGAACAAATGGTTCAGGGAGGTCAATAGAAAAAGGATTCCATTGGAAATATTAGGTTATTTGAGAATCAAAGAGTCTATCTATATTCTTTCTACTGGGAGCTGTGGACAGTGGGGTAATGGAGAAAGATGGAAATGTTGATGGCTAGGAACTTGGAGTGGAAGCCTGAAGGCAGTATTAGAAGAGAATATTGGCCGACACCGTGGCTTAACAGGCTAATCCTCCACCTAGCGGCGCTGGCACACCGGGTTCTAGTCCCAGTCGGGGCACCAGATTCTGTCCCAGTTGCCCCTCTTCCAGGCCAGCTCTCTGCTGTGGCCAGGGAGTGCAGTGGAGGATGGCCCAAGTGCTTGGGCCCTGCACCCTATGGGAGACCAGGAGAGGCACCTGGCTCCTGCCTTCGGATTGGCGTGGTGCACCGGCCGCAGCGCACCGGCCGCGGTAGCCATTGGAGGGTGAACCAACAGCAAAAGGAAGACCTTTCTCTCTCTCTCTCTCACTGTCCACTCTGCCTGTCAAAAAAAAAAAAAAAAAAAGAGAGAGAGAGAGAGAGAGAGAGAGAGAGAGAATATTGCTCAGAGGGACCTGAGAGGGCTTGGGATTGGCACAAAGTCCAGGTCGCATGGTAGAAGGACAGTGGGCTCTGGGAGAGGCAGACAAGTCATTCTCAATTTCCACTGTCAAGACCAGAAGAAGAGGCCCATGATGCACACACAACAAATACAAGACAACAAGCAATATCTACTGTTATTGCTATCTGGCTATGAGGTGCCGTGGTGCATGATACAGACTGCAGAACTATTTGAAACTGCCAGGTTCGAAATTCTAGCTCCACCGCCTCCTTGGACAAATGACTAGATCTTTTCCATCACTCTGTTTCCCCGTGGCTGCCGTGGGACTGTAAAATCAAGGCCATAACAAGGATTAAATGAGTTAACATTTGTAAAGCACTGAGCTCATATTACTGCTATTAATATTATTATTATTATCATGTAATGTAGAGCTAAATAGATGATGCATCATATTTACCATTAATTTTGTGCTCTATCCCAGTGTAGAGTTCTGTTTACATAGGGAGTCTACACATTGAGCAGAGCAGACACTGGGCCTTTACTTATATTTTCTGTGAAATTTAATATCTTAGAGTCTAAGTTTTGCTGGTGTCTAAATGTTGGGAGCATGGATTTCGCTATGAAAGGGCAGATGATTTTTTTCATTTACTATCTATTTTAATGTTTCTTGATGTCCTTTTTATAGTCATTCAACAAGCATTTACAGAGTAGCTGCTGTGTGCCAGATTTGTGAGCCACCAAGATTCCCACCCTCCTGAAAGATTTCTAAAACCCAAACCAAAATCTGGTACCTTATACTTTTATACACAATATATCCTATTTCTTAAAAAAGGGTGTATTTTATTTATTTGAAAAGCAGAGTTACACAGAGAGAGAGAGAGAGAGAGAGAGGTCTCCCACCCACTGGTTCACTCTCTAAATTGCTTCAATGATCAAGGCTGGGCCAGGCCAGAGCCAGGAGCCAGCAGCCTTTTGTGGGTCTGTCACATGGTTTCAGGGGACCCAGGACTTGCACCATTTTCTGCTGCTTTCCCAGGCATATTAGCAGGGAGCTGGATAGGAAGTGGAGCTTAAACTGGAGCCCATATGGTATGCTGGCATTGCAGGTGGTGGCTTTACCAGTTACGGTTGGGTCTCCCACTGCATAGAAGGATTCTGAAAACCAAAAAACAACAAACAAAAACCCCAACTATCTCAAAAGATAGATAAGATGCAAATGTCGAAATTCCCCGCTTCCAAAATTATGTGAAGATATGCAGTGAACAAAACTAAATCTTTCTGTTGTATTTTGCATCATAAAATTCCCCTAAATGTAGACATTCTCACTGCACATAGATTCAGGATATACTGGGGAAAGGGAAACACCAAAAAAGAGGAGGATCAAAACAATAAGAGCAAAAACAACCCCAAAAGATGACTTAATGCAGTAACTAAGTCAAATTGTAGCAAATACCTAAGATTTAACATTGATTGCACATAAGAATTAATCATTGTACTGACGTCCAGTGTTCCTGGGTAAAATTCATTAAAAATCATGAGAAGTAAACAACTGAACGCTATGTGGTGCTGATAATCTAAGCACTGTCTACATTCAGTCTTACTTCATCTTCACAGGACTGAGAGAGTGAGCATCTTTCCTTGGGCTGTGGGAGAGAGGGTGTAAACTTGCCCTATCTGGTTTCAGAGCCTAAACATGTTTTTAACAAATGCGATTCATTCTCTGGTTATTACTGAACATCTTTGTTTAGTTTATTTCAATTAAATGCAGAGAATAGTAATAAAGTGCCAACCCTATGCAAAGGCAACATAGTAGTAGAAAAAAATGATGCTGGGGAAAAGCAGTATGTATGTTAGGATACGGACCAACACGGCAGAACATATCAATGCCTGCAGGCTGGGCATTTTCATAGGGACAAAACAGACTTAGCCTGAAATGAGTTAACATAAGTTGTGGGAAAACTTACCTAAGGCATTTGTCTCTGTAGTTCGCAGTGAGAACAAAATTTTCAGCTGAACTAAGCAAGGGCTCAAGAATCCACCCCTTGGTGTGCTCCAACTGGCAGATATGGAGAATTGTTTTCAACTGGGACAGAAGTAACATTTGGACAGAACCAAAATTTGTAAGTGTGTTTTAAAAAAGTGAAATCAAAGGCCAAGCAAATGTTATCCGGTCCCCAAGTTGGCATTGTAGCATGATGAGGTTTTTTTTTTATATGCTACTCTAATCACAGGCTTGGTTAAGGGTAATAAAGGATATTGAGATAATATTTAGTCATGAGTTGATTCATCTATATTTAATTAGGAGGTCAAGTAACATTCAGAGATGTTAAATTAGATAAGTGCATGCATGTGGTTAAGCATAGCTATCATTAGATTATTGCTCTAAGATTATGACTTTTTCCCTAAAAAATTTTCATTTTGTCTTTTTCAAAAAATGCATTTATTTATTTATTCATTTATTTATTTGAAAGGCAGAACATCAGAGAGAGGAGAAATGGGAGGAGCAGGAAAAGGTTTTTTTTTTTCTTAACATTTATTTAATTATTTGAAAGACACAGATGCAGAGGGAGAGAGAGGAAGAGAGAATGGGGGGCGGGGATAGATCTTCCATGTACTGGTTCATTCCCCAGATGGCTGCAACAGCTGGAGCTGAGCTGATCCAAAGCCAGGAGCTGGGAGCATCAGTGCCCATATGGGATACCAGCACGACAGGCAGCAGCCCTACCCACAACCCACAGCACCTGCCCCCAAAAGAGGTATTTTACAACCTCTAGCTTACTCCCCAGGATCCAGGCACTACCTCCAAGTCTTCCATTGGGTGTCAGGGGCCCAAGTATTTGAGCCATCTTCCTCTGCCTTCCCAGGTGCATTAGCAGGGAGTTGGATGATAAGCAGAGTAGTTAGGATTGGAACTGACACTCTGATTTGGGATGTCAGCATCATACGTGGAGGCCCAAGTATATCTACCATTCTACTTTTGATTTTAACTTAGTTTGACATTTTGCTAACTTGTATATTAGGCATTTAAGATCATCTATAGAATTCCAAGTCATATATCCCTATACTCTAAGCAAAATAAAAATTCTAAGATATGTTATATCTAAGGAAAACAGATTTATAGATGTGCAAGTGTTCTAAATAAAACTATAAATCATGAATATTTTCTACAGGGTTTAAATAGTTCATTTAAAGAAACTTTTGAAGCACAGAAAAGTCAGGTGCATTTTTATTTCTATTAAAATGAGAATTAAGGGGCTGGCACTGTGGCGTAATGGGTAAAGCCGCCGCCTGCAGTGCCAACATCCCATATGGCACTGGTTCAAGTCTCAGCTGCTCCATTTCTGATCTAGCTCTTTTGGCCTGGGAAAGCAGTAGAAGATGGTTCAAGTCTTTGGGCCCCTGCACCCACGTGGGAGACCCAGAAGAAGCTCCCTGGCTCCTGGCTTTGGATCAGCATGGCTTTGGATTGGCACAGCTCCAGCCATTGTGGCCATCTGGGGAGTGAACCAGAGAATGGAAGACCTTTCTCTCTGTCTGTCTCTTTCTCTCTCTCTCTCTCTCTCTCTTTCTCTTTGCCTCTGCTCTCGTAACTCTGCCTTTCAAATAAATAAATAAATCTTAAAAAATTAAAAATGATACTTGAAATTCTATGGAAATTGAATTGGACAGAACCCAGGTCTGATTTGCCATCTGTACCGCTCTGCTTTGGGGGATATGTCTGACCAAGTAGGGAACTTCCTTCTTTGGTCACCCTCACCCAGCAAACCCAATCCAAACCTGTGGAAGAAAAGCAATTAGATATTCTAAGCAAGGATAATAACAGTATCGATAGTCAGTTTCTATGGTATTATCAGCTACCTGGTCAAGGAAAATGCTGCAGTGCAGGAATGTAGCATTACCAGGCAGCCTATCACACCTTGCTTCTTTGCCCTGTGCAGGGTTTTAAAAGAGCTCAAACCATGCTCACCTTTATTTTTTCCCCTTAAATAAAAGGAAGGCAAGCTGCCCATAAAGACCTGATGATAAGCAAACGAGCGTCTTTATGGCTGTAAAGATGTATTGTGAGACTTTGCAAAAAAACAGGAGACCAGCAAAGCGCTCAGGAGTAATTAGACGTAATCTGATGCACGCAACCTCGTAAGGCAGGAAGAGCTAATTACAATTACAATACACCGTGCTTGAAACATATTTATTGTGCGTATTTTTAAGATGTTTGCTTCACCTGAAGAAAAGGACGACGAAAGCATTTCCATGTAATCAAAACAGAGATCATCTTCTTCTACCCACTCCATTTATGTCAATTTCTAAAGTTCAAGGTAGAAATATTTTAATCCACATTAGACTCTGGAATTCCTACGTGTTTAAAAGTAGCATTGCTGAAGACAAAACACATATCCAGCCCTACCGTGCCCCCTACATACACACACTCACACATGCAAGACAGGATGCAATGCAATCATTTTGGCAGCATAAATTAAGCGTAGTTTCCTTGAGAAAGGGCATCCATGGAAGTATATATTCACTAAAAGATTAAGTAAGTATTTAATCCTCAAAACCGAAGCAAACAGCAAAGGTCCAGCAGAACTTCGCCAGTCCACCTTTGTAAGGGCTGCTTCATGTGGCACTGTCATTGCAATCATCAGAATAACACCAGCTGGAACCAAGATCTACGTGGTGACTTAAAGGAGAAAGATGGAGGTGTATTAACACTATTCCATTTATTCAAGTTTAACTTTGAGTTACTATTGTGCATTGTAAAGCAGAACAAAACCAAACACACACACATACACACACACACACACACACATAGTAACCCTTCCATCCTGAATCCCAATCTACCCAGAGCAGGATTTTTAGGTCATAGAGAAGATAATCTGAAATTAAAATGTATATAGAGGGGCCAATGCAGTGGCATAGCAGGTAAAGCCGCTGCTGGCAGTACTGGCATCCCATAGGGGCTGCTCCACTCCTGATCAAGCTCTCAGCTATGGCCTGGAAAAGCAGTGGAAGATAGGTGAAGTCCTTGAGTCCTTGCATCCACATGGGAGACCCAGAAGAAGCTCCAGGCTCTTGGCTTCGGATCAACCCAGCTCCAGCCATTGTGGACATTTGGGGAGTGAATCAGCGGATGGAACACATTTCTCTCTCTCTTTATGCCTCTGCCTCTCAAATAAATAAATAAATACAAAAAAGCATATTAGAGGTATGTCTGCATGGAAAGAAACATAACATATGTAGGGCTCAGTACTATTTGCAGTTTCTGGCATTCACTGGGAATGGCATGGAAAGCCAAAACACTCTGGCAAAAAAAACAAAACAAAAAAAACAAAAAAACCCACCTAAATGAAAGATCTCCGCAAGTGAGATCCCAGTGAAAAGAACATGTCATCAGCCAGTGCCGCGGCTCACTAGGCTAATCCTCCGCCTTGTGGCGCCAGCACACCGGGTTCTAGTCCTGGTCGGGGTGCTGGATTATGTCCCGGTTGCCCCTCTTCCAGGCCAGCTCTCTGCTGTGGCCAGGGAGTGCAGTGGAGGATGGCCCAAGTGCTTGGGCCCTGCACCCCATGGGAGACCAGGAGAAGTACCTGGCTCCTGCCATTGGATCAGGGCGGTGCGCCGGCCACAGTACACCGGCCGCGGCAGCCATTGGAGGGTGAACCAACGGCAAAGGAAGACCTTTCTCTCTGTCTCTCTGTCTCACTGTCCACTCTGCCTGAAAAAAAAAATATCCTTTAAATTCTAAGTTTGGGGGCAGGCACCATGGCTCACTTGGTTAATCCTCTGCCTACGGTGCCTGCATCCCATATGGGTGCTGATTCTAGTCCCAGCTGCTCCTCTGCCAGTCTAGCTCTCTGCCATGACCTGGGTAGGCAGTGGAGGATGACCCAGGTGCTTGGGTCCCTGCACTTGCATGGGAGACCGGGACAAAGCACCGGCTCCTGGCTTTGAATTGGCGCAGCGCCGGCCGTGGCGGCCATTTGGGGAGTGAACCAACAGAAGGAAGACCTTTCTCTCTATCTCTCTCTCACTGTCTATAACTCTACCTGTCAAATAAAAAATAAATAAATAAAATTATAAAAAAATTAAAAAAATAAATTCTAAGTTTGGGGGCCAGTGCTGTGGCACAGAAGGGTAAGCTGCCACCTGCCGTGCTGGCATCCTTGGTGGGTGCCAGTTCAAGTCCTGGCTGCTCTTCTTCTGATCAGCTCCCTGTTAAGGAGCCTGGGAAAAGCACAGAAAATGGTCCAAGTCCTTGGGCCCTTGCACCCTTGTGGGAAACTTGGAAGAAGCTCCTTGCTTCTGGCTTTGGCCTGGCCCAGCACCAGCTGTTGAGGCCACTTGGGGCATGAACCAGCAAATGAAAGGTCTCTCTCTCTCTCTCTCTCCTTCTCTCTATATCTCTACCTTTCAAATAAATAAATAAATAAATATTTTTTAAAAATTCTAAGTTTGAGGGCCAGTACTGTGGCATGGCAGGTAGAGCACACTGCATGCTGCAGTGTCAGCATCCCATATGGGCACTGGATCTAGACTTGGCTGCTTCACTTCCAATCCAGCTCTCTTGCTATGGCCTGGGAGAGCGGTAGAAGATGGCCCAAGTCCTTGGGCCCCTGCACCCATGTGGGAGACCTGGAAGAAGCTCCTGGCTCCTGGCTCCTGGCTTTGGAGTGGCCCAGCTCTAGCCATTGAGGCCATTTGGAAAGTGAACCAGCAGATGGAAGACCTCTCTCTCTGTCTCTCCTTTCTGTAACTCTGCCTTTCAAAATATAAATAAATAATAAATCTTTAAAAAAATGTAGGTAGAAGGAAAAGAAATGTAAAAGAATTAAAGGGGTAATTGTATCTATAAGAATTCTACGGCAATGCATTTGTTTCTCTTTAGGGCATGGCACGCCGCTAGAGCTCAGCGGGCATGGTGATTACTTTGCACATCTCCAGCAGTGCACAAGACAGAGGAGTGTGCATGCAATGGGCACTTAGGGAGCAGTCCGTCGGCTCCACCTGGAGTGATAGCAGTGATCTCTGTGGTGCCTGGCGCTGGCAGCACATGGGTTGAGGACTTCTTTGTACAGTTAGGAGGAGAGGGCATACTCTTGGCAGGGACAGCCTTTTCTGTGCTGTAGATTCAGTCCTGTCCGTGGCCTGAGTTCAAACCTGCTTCCTCCCTGGGGAGGGCAAATCGTTCGACACATGTTTAGTTTACAAATGCAGCTTTCAAAAAAATGTAGTTTGGGAATATGCTACGGTATTTCCTTACAGTGGAACCTATTCCTTGCCCCAAAGCTCTGTTAAGTGGAATTGAATGCACACATAACTATCTGCACACTGTTGCCAAGTGAGGATAATTTCAGTGTGTCCTTGTATGTTTTGGAGAAAATGCCAGCAATGTTGAAACAAGATGCTCCACAAAATTTGTGAGCCCATTATTACTCCAGGTTTCTTCTCATAGAAGATTTAAATTCAGAGCTCACTAAATTTACATTCTATTTGAAGGCGTGGATAAAAAACGGGCCTCTGAATACTATCTCTCAAGTTGATCAATTAATGAGCAAACGGATGCATACAATTTCTCCAAGTTTAAATTCTTAAAGATGTAAGTTGACATATGCTCGCATTTTTCCAATAAAGCATTGGTCAAGTTTATAACAACATCAAGAGAGGAAACAAAGATGTTTTTGAAAATACTATGAGCTTTATTAAAACAGAAGCCTCATTTATGTACGTGGTTGTTAAGTTCTTTTTGGTATTTATATTCTCCAAGTGTGAAAACTGTCGGAGCACATGCGAGTATCATGAATCGTGAGAAAAATGGGTTTTCTATAAAGCTCTGGGGTCACCTAAGTCAGTTTCAGGTCAAAAATGAAGCTTACAACAAATCCAAATTCAAACAGCCAAGCCAGGCTGCTGAAGGTACACGCTCACTGTGCGGGGCGTGCTCCCCACCTGTGTATTCCAAGTCTGCAGAGAACACATCAAAGAGAGAGCCAGACATGACCGCTGACACCAGAATTCTAGTTTTCTCACCAAAAGCCACATAAATGGGAGGTACTATAATGACACACACAAGCTCTCTGCCTTTCTCTCTGCATGTTCTCACAGTGAAAATAACACACGTATAATACGCCAACCTTGAGAGAGCACAAACTGCTGGGAAACATTACCTTCTGTGCTGCAGCGAATTCGTGAGTTTTCACCAGCTGCCTGGATCTGTCCGGACATGTTCGAGCGCTCATCCCGTTAAGACTGGCAATTAAACACAGTGTTACAGCTAGGAGACCCCAAATTTCATTCCATCTTTCTCTCCTGTTTTCAGAGCTCAATTGATTTTTCTCCCACTTAAAAAAAAATGCTTGCGTACATAGAGCTGGTTGTCTATGTGTGTGTGCGTGCTGCTGATATACCAAACAATAATGACAATCTTATGATCATAAAGTATGGGTTCCCAACCATGAAACAAAATGAATTGTACAGACATACAAGTTCTCCATAGTTATTATAAACAACCATGTGTTTAAAAGCTCACCAACTTCAGCTGTTGTCAATTAACTGTCTTGCCGTGCCTGCCTAGGTTGGCACAAGTGGATCCTAGTTGGTTAGCCATCCGGTGTACCGAGAACTGGAACATGGGTTTGGAAGACTTGAAGGAGTAGTAATCTGGAAAGAAGATAAATAGAAATCAGCACACACAAGTCTTGCATGTGTATGAGGGAAATCTATGAAAGGTTATGAGCGTTTGAAAAGAGCCTTTTGAAAGGTTTGTTTATTTAAGACAATGCCGGGTTTGCTGAAATGAAAATGCATTTTAGCAAGGGGCTGATGGGAAACACAGACTGTCAGGGGAGCTGGAAATGGAGCAAGAATGACCAAAGTTGAGAGACCTAATGACTCGTGACATCTCCCCTTAAAAATAAACCTGAAAATGGGCAGGAAAGGATACATTGTAACATCCCTCACCGATTGGCAACTCAGATTTTGCTTTATTAGTGTGGACAAGTGAATTTTATGTGATAGTTTGTTGTATTTAAAGACAGTGTAAAACTCTCGTTGCAAACAGTTGTTTACAGTGCGTTTTTCAGCGCAGAGCTGTTTTAAAGCTCAATTGTGCATTTTGCAGATAAAGTGGGAAAACTAACTGAAGCCTGTATTGTAAGCAGTGGTTGCCGTGGAAACCCCAGTTTCAAGAGCTGGTTCTCCATTACCACTTAATTTAGGCTTCCTAATTGCATTCCACTAAATCGGTAGCGACAATATCTGCAGAGCAAAACTGCATGCCCAGTCTAGCGCAAACCTCTTTGAAACAGGCTTTTTGAAAGCCAGGAGCTATAAAAACTCAGCATGACGTGGAGCATATGAGAAACCTGTAGATCAAATGTACTACTGCCTGCTTTCTCATCCTTAGTAACTTCAGTGGGCTCCACACCAATCTATTAGTTCAGTCTACCTTAAAGACCATAACGCTCTGCCGTGTGGAAACTCATCTGTCCAGCAACACGTTGGTGCAAAATGGATTTAATTGTACTCCGACCCAGTATCATGTCCATCTTATTTTACTACCCACCAGCGGGTAGCCCGAGCCCAGTCGCACTTCTCTTGAACTGCCCCGGCTCCACAATACGAGCAGAACAATACTTTCTCAGTTCAAATTATTTGCCACTGTTGGGCTGAGCAGAGAGCTAGACCGCCCATATGTGACCTGAGGAAGAGGCTTGTCAGAACCACTAGACATGAAAGCCTTCCAATTATCGACCACACTGCCTTAATAGAGGAGGCAACGAATATGATAGTGTAAGTGAGGAGCTCTTCGTCACTGTCAGATTACCACTTGAGTTAAACTCTTGTAAATCAGTCACATTATGCCGCTGGTGGAGAAGTAAACACAGAGCGATTATGCTTAGGATTCCAGAGGGCTCTCTCCCTGCCAAAGGAGTTACAGTGGATGTCCTATGAATCTGGATCTTGTCGTGTTTATTATTTGGCAAACACCAACAAGGGGCGCGTTGGCAAAAAAAAAAAAAAAAAAAAATCTAAGTTCCCTGACATGGGATCCAGAGGAGTGGGATGCATCTGCCTTTCGGGCGGCCAAGGAGGCATGCCAGTGTGTCTCCCTGGCTGGACACAGGCAGGCTTGGTGGGCATCCATGAGAGAGGAAGCCACCTAGCCCCTGATTGACAACAAATCCCACAATTCTTGTTTTCTTGTTCAACAAGGAACGCTTTCAAGCAAAATGCCTTGCTTTCTCAGAGCACAGGACTGGATGCCAATGCCCGGTGCAGCTCATCGTTTTGTCGCCTGGGTCCTGAGGATTTGGCATCTCTATTGTAGGCAGAGAGACTCCCTTTGCTCCGGAGAGACAAGTAAACAACTGCAGCGTTTTATCCTCTCCCTGGCACTGGGGCATGTTGCTAAAGCAGCCTGCAAACGGCTGCCAAGCACTCCACTATTGTCTTCTATCTCCCAAGGTTTTCAATGCCCTTGCCCTCCCAACGGTGGGTCTTCTGCAGGAATGAATGAGGCATTTTCCAGGACAAGACTTTATGAATGAGGCGGACTGTGTATTACAAGGCAAGAGGCTCCTGTGCATTTCCTAGATTAAGCAAGCAAATGGGAAGGGCGTCCACCTCCCAGCTTTTGTAGTGATGTGGAGGAGAGAGGAAATCAACCTCACTGGTAAGCCCCTCTGTGGAGTCACAATACAAAGAGGAGGTGGGAGCTTCAAAAGCCAGGCGCTTCAAAAACCCGGACAAGGCAGATTCTACTGTGGAAATAGTGTTCTTCCAAGGTGGTGGGGAGGGGCTCTTGCTGTCCTATAATTTTAATCTATAGGAAAATATAACCTGGCTGTAGGTGTGGTTGCTGCTAGGCAGTGGCTGGATTGCCTGTTCCCTTTGCAGTAAATGTGAGGATCCATGGATCTGTGATGGAGAATGCTATGATCCTGGGCACTAAGTTTGAGCAAAATTAAAAGTTAAAGTTCCAGAATTTCAGTTCCGCTCATAGCGCAGAGCAGATAAAAAAGCATCACATGTTCCATAACGACATTTCAGTAAACCACAGCACGCATGTACAATGGTGGTCCCACAAGATTATATTGTCTGGGAACATCATAGTGGTCTTAGTTTAAGTATACTCTACAGTGTTTGAACAAGGATGCAATCATCTAAAGATTTATTTATCAGAAGTATTGGGGTGGGATGTTTAGCTTAGCAGTTAAGAAGCCCACGTTCCACATTGGAGTGCCTGGGTTTGATTGCTTTTCTAGCTGTTGATTCCAGTTTCCTGCCAATGTAGACCTGGGGAGGCAGCAAGTGATGGACCAGGTAATTGGGTTTCTCCCTCCCATGTGGAAGACCTGGATTGAATTCCTGGCTCTCAGCTTCAGGTCATTTGAGGGTATTTGGGAAGTGTACCAGTGGATGGGAATGGTTTCTTTCTCAGACTCAGAAATAAGTAACTAAATAAGGAAAGAAAGAACAGATACTCTCATGGTTCAGTGATGACAACTGTGTTATTTTCCTGTCCCCTAGAGTTTGTAGAACTTCCCTACGGAGACCCTGGCTTTGGCTTCAGGGTGTGAATACTTTTCTGTTTCTTATGTTATTTTTCTATTGGTTTCCTCCTGACCACGGAAGGACAGAAGTTCATGAGTAGGTTTTACAGGATCACCTTTATATGGCTATCCTTCAATTAAGTAAGGAAAAGCTACTCATCTCCCTCCCCAGCTCTGGCCCCTTGCCGGGGTCCCTGCCTGTGAAACATTCCAGAAGCAGCTCCCAGAGGGGCCAGCAGGGAAAAGCAGAGGCAACTTTGTTGCAGCATCAGGTTCCTGCTAATTTCCTCTCACACTACCCTTGTGAAATCGCCTCTGATTTTATCTGTGTTCTCCCACTTTGCTGCTGCTTATCTCTGATCCACCTCATGAAACTAATAAAATAAAAGACTAATGTTTCCTTCCCATCCCGAATGATTCATTCCGATTCTAAAACTTCTTTGATCTCTTCTCCATTATTCTAAAACGAAACTCCAAATGTTGGAGCTTAAAACCGAGCCTTGTTTCAGGACCCAGCCCAGGTACCTCGTGGAAAGAAAATTGCAGCCGCCACCGAAAAAGATTACGACTGAATTACAAATCAGAGAGAGTTGCATAAATAGTTATGAGGGAAAATTGCAGGATAATGCTGCTGATAGAATCAATAACATCCTTGATAGTGATATACCCAGGGGTTCTATATATTATCTATCCGCCAAAATGTCAATATAATAAAACCAACAGAGGAATTTATATCAAGATCTATTCTCTGTTGATTCCCACGTGAATAATAAATCAAATTGGATACCTGAAAGATCTTCTTCTCTAATCGACTTGCTTAAGAAATTGGTTAAACTGGCCACAATGCTATTCCAACTAATAGATGTTTGGAAACATTTCTCTTTCCTTTAAAATTTACACTGCATTTTAGCATATGACCCATGATGGCAAAAAAAAAAAAAAAAATCACACACTCTGTTAGTAATAAGGACTCATACCATCACATTTACTAAAGTATTGTATACTTACTTTATTTCTCTTGGAGTCCCGTGTTTAGGAAGGGACCAGGAGCACAAAGCCTTCCCTTTAAAATGTCGTTTGAGTAAGCAAATATATATTGATCAGATTTCCTTTATTTTTTTTTTAGCTATCTCTACTCATTTTCTCTTTTTTCATCCCCTCTGACATCCTTCAAATTAATTAGTGAAATTCTCATTAGATAGCTAGCAACTCTTATACATTTTTGTAGAAAACTTATGTAAGGCTTTTGTGATGCTCAAATGATGCCACACATGCGGCTTCCATGGATAGGTCTCATGGCTAAATCAGGTATCTTTGAAAGTGACAATAATTCTCCCAGCTCCCTTGGGAATTCTTGATGGAATATTCCCAGCACGAGCATGTTTTAATGTACATCTCTTTACAAAAAATGGATTTTAGAGCCCTGCGTTAAGGCTTGCTTGGATTAATTTTCAGTATAATAATATCCCAGGACAACAAACATTTTTCTTTTCTCTTTTTTAAACATGCCCTTCTACTATCTTTGTTTATTTTGCAGAGAAATTTGTCCTGATTTAAATAATAAAACAGCTATACTATTTGTCCTACATGTTTTAGGCATCAAAAATATTGTTAAAAGCAGCCTGGAGGGACCCCTTTGCACGTGGCCCTGGTTGAAGGGCTCACGGGGTGAAGCAGCCAGAGCCTGGTCTAGTGGGTGTAAGGTCTTCAACAGTTCAACTATTTTCTTGACACAAAACCTCAATACCAACCAACGCCACTGGGAGCAAAGGATGTTCGTGAAATCTCGTTTCCATGAGTTTAGATCTACTGCTCTGATTATTAGGAGACTTGTATTCTGCAGAGAATGGGCTACATAACTGGGGAAGTTCTGTGCCAAACAAAAACACAGGATACCCTGTAGAAATGGTATTAAGAATATTTTTATGACAGTAGCAGAGCATTTAACCAAGCATGGGCCTTTCTACGCATGGGCATTGTACTCCTTTGTGGCAGGCATTGGTCTGGTTTCAAGTCTTGGCTTTCTCCTTCACTAGTTGTATGATGCCGAGCAACTTAATCTGACTAAGCTTCTGGTTTCAGGTCTAGAGTGTGGTCTCTAAATTT